CCCATCCTGGAGGTGAATTTGTCATTGCTGTGGTCAATGAAGCACCTTGGGGTCTCTCAGATTGAGGAATGTGCTATTCTGTAACTGGTATGAATGTAACCTTCTTCATGAATTTTGGAAATCTATCTATCTTCTGGAGCCACTGGTATCAGGTCTGAGAGTCCTACAGACACCAGCATCACCCATATCATCATGAGGAGTTGTTTTGAGTTCTAATATCTAGTTCCACATTATTAAGTGAGATCTTCCTCTTTGAATTGTAAAGTGTGATTTAGGCTCTGCCCAGGCTCACACGTGTAACAACTGTTGTTTAAAGTAGCCTATCACTGTGGAGACTTTCCCTAGAGGGGTTGATTGTATCAATTCCTCCCAGGAAATCTCCAAAATGTATCACAAGTTCATGAATTATGTTAAAACACAAGTGAAAAAAAAAGTAGGGATTAAAGGTGCCTGTGACTGTGTGCCCACAAGACACATATCTACGGAACGGACTCACTGTATGTGCAGACACACAGAAGTCATCAGGCCTCCCTAGAACATCACACTTGTTGCTAGCTAGTCCTTCTGGAATGGCCCTAATTGAAGCTGTCAGTTATCAGGAGTCAGGTTACTTTTCACAATGTGTTTGGAAGGCCAACTCAAAGTTTAATTTAACTGTTAGGGAATGCTTATAGAAAGTTGTACAACAAATTACATTCTGTGTGCAGATGGAGTTGGGAGTTCATCTGGTAAGAGATACATCCATCAAATTTTCTTTTCAGAGTTTGTCATTTCCCCTAAGAATTATTTCTGAGTCTTTGGACTGTGTTGAGCAGAAAATGACCCCCATGAAAAGGAGTACAGATCAGCACTGTGTGGAAGCTGACATGCTGGCCCTTACTAGGGTTCTGCAGACTGTGGCACATGTCTGTCTTTGAGTAGGAGATGCAGTTGGCAAGCCTGTCAACTAGGCAAAGGTTAGACTCCCTCAAGTCAACTCTGGCGAGAGAGTGATAAGACCACAAGGGGCTGGGTCATCAGGGCTAATCACATGCTTTTCAGAGACTGGAAGGCCTGCTTCAATCCTGAGATGACATGGTACTCCGAGGTGAGTCAAGTGGGCCACTTACTACCGCATCTCTTCAGGACAGTTCTACTTTGAAAAGCATGCTGAGTTACACGGGGACAATTTGAGGCTCAAGCCTGGGGCCAAGAAGGTTAGATGCTAAAGAGTCACTTCATGGTGACAGTCATTCATGGTAATTATCACTGGAATCCTGAGGACATGTATGATTGGTAGAGCAGGGTACATTCTCATCTGTGTCCTTTTCCGGAGGTCAAGCCTTGGGCATGATATCACACGGTTGGATTCATGCTCTGTCCTTCCCTGTCATCATCTGTTACCATCCTTGATGCATGGATCATATTGCTTCCTCAAGAGCCAAGCTTTGGATCTCAGACTGTGCTCTAGGAAGTGCTAAACATACCTGCATCCACTTGCAGGGGATGGTTCCACTCCTGCTATGCCTTTGCTTCTCTTAGAGCTTCACATGCATCCCAAGGTAGGTAGACATCTCTACTGCCAGGAACTATCATTCCCTAGTCAGGGGATCATGGATTACCAAAGCAGAGTAAACCATCCAGATAGCAGCAAGCTCTCATGAACATGGGTTGTTGTGTGATATATTTCTGCTAGAAGGGCTGGCCTCCTTTCAACTCTTCGGGGCTCTTATCCCTCCTCGATGTTCTGGGAGGCACTTGTTTAACACCATACTTGTAACCTGGTATCTGTTTCATCAGGACTGTATGTTTAGGTTTGAGGACAGAGGCATGGTTCTGAACTGTATTATGCTTGGGATTCCTCTGCAGCACCCAGCATGTATGAACAGGGTATGTTTAACATTGACTACTCAGCATCTTTGCCTGTTCTGCTACTGCCTGGAAGAGCACTTCCTTCTCTCTGCCCTTCAATGTGAGCCCTTTGCCTGTTGAAGTACATCAAAGACTTCTGTATTTGGTTGGATTTTAGGTAACTTGCTTTCCCTTTTTCTAGATACTCTCTTGGAGACGGTTTTAAAAAGATGAAAAGCCACCCTTGCTTCTGATGGGTTCTGAACAGAATGGGGTTGGGGGCAGGAAGCAGATATGGTTCAATGAATCCTAGGGATCAAGAACAGTCATCACTTCCTTAGGGCTTTATTAATAAAGCTGAAGGCTCCTGCTAATAAGCCCTAGCAGAGGGAAAGGTTCAGTGATAAAACAGCAGGGGTGGGAGGGAAAGCCTACATGGGTGGAGGGAACACACCCAGGTCTGAGAAACAATTCTGAAAGGCAAGCATTGGATTGAAGGGTTAAGGATTTAGATATCTTCTTTAGACCCACGAACCCTCTGAGTAGGCAGTTCTAGGTCTCCAACATCTACCCACAGGGAAGTTGCTGGAGGGTGGGCTCAGCCTTGTCTTACAATTCCTGCACTCAGAGCACAGTTTTCTGTTCCTTTGGATTCATGTTTGTGGCATAAGATCCCCGATGAGTAGTATTTAAGGGTTGTGTTTTCAGGCAAGGGGACAGCGGCTATAGAGGACAAATGCTGCTGCAACCAAGTGGCTGTAGCTGAAGCATCTCTGCCATGGAATGGTGTTGGCCCTCTGGCAGTGGGGTAGACAACTGGAGTTTTCTAAGGATCAGCAGCAATCAGACCAGTGGGAACTTACTGACAGTCAAAATTAGATAGTCTACAAAGTCATGTTCATGGATGATAGTGATTGGAGGAGGGATTTTGCTTCATCCCATCTCTCACAGCTGCCTGACCTTAGCTCCTTGACTAGAAAAACCCAGTGTCCAAGTGGCTATCCTTCTTTGTAGTAAGACACACACTGGCTCCTTCATGTGACTAAGATCTTTGTTTCTGTTGGATTCTGCTTGTTTTTCTAGTAGGTGTAAGACCTCTGTGATCAGTTGTGTACCCCTTTCCCCTAATTCCAGAGTCCAGAAATAAGCTCTCACATATATGGGGCCCCTTGGTTCATGATAAGGCACTAATAGAATTCAGCATGTAAACAATAACACTCGAAATACATTTAACATCATTTATGTAAATAAACACACTCAAAGCTCTCTTCCATCCCTACTACAAATGTTACATAATTTGCCAAATGAGGAACTTACAGGTAAGATGACAGATTAGAAGCCCCCTCTGATGGTTACTGTTGATCATCAAACTGACAGAATTTAGCATCATCTGGTAGACAACCCTCTGAGAATGCCTTTGGGAGACTGTATCGATGTGGGAAGACCCATTTTAATCATGTATGAGACCATTACTTAGGCAAGGGATCCTGGAGTAGGTAAAGCAGAGAAAGCCAGCCAGCCAGGCAGCAAATGTTCAGTGCTCTCTTTCACGACTGTGGTTATGATGTGAGCAGCTGTTTCAAGATGACACGCTGACTTCCCCACCATGATATAGCCCAGAACTGTAAGTCAGAGTAAACCATTTCTCCCCTTAGATTGCTTTTGTCAGGAAAAGAAAAGGAAGACAACCTCCCTGTGACCCACTGAAAGAAAAAGGATAGTAAGCAATAATGTCTTTTCTAACAAGAGATGAAAAATGAGGGGATATACCAGGTGAATTCTCCAGAGGCAGGGCCATGAAATTTGGGACAATATAGGGGTAATTTCCAGAGGGACCCGTCAGCTACACACATGGTGAAACTCTGGACTGGAAAAAAGATGTGCTGTAGAAACTTGATCAAGGGCTGGATATATAGCAGAGAGACACAAGATTATCACAGGCTCTGGAGACAATGGCTAAAGTGTGCCTGAAGCTGAGACTCACTGGGAATCTGGAGGGAACAGTCCAAGGGGTAAACACCCTGTTATTGCCTGGGCAAGTGGTGACCTGGAAACCGAGAAAAACTCAGGGTATATGTTCTAAAATCAAGACAAGAGAACTGGATTGATATGAAATTACATGGTGACTGTAGAAACAGAGTCCAACAAAGGCAGGTAGACTCATGGTAAGGGGAATCTGCCTAGCTGAAACGTTAGGCAATAGTATGGGGTGTGGTCGCATTAATACATTGGACATAGAAACTCAAGTTGGGGAGGCAATATCATCCAGCCCATGTGGAATAATAACCAGTGGAAACTACCCAAAATCAGTCCATACTGAGGGTTGGGAGAACCCAAGAAAGGGTTGGTGTCTTCTGGTAGCTGTGCAGAAACAACCCAAAAGATTTGTTAGGATGTATGCAGTGTCTCCCACAAGGGTTTTCCTGCAGACAGTATCCTTTACCCATATTCACTCCACACACTTCTTAGACTCTCATCTAGCTCTACCCAACCCAGATATGCAGCACCATGTAGAATTAAGGCAGGAATATGGGTGCAGGATTGGGAGAGGGTAAAGGAAAAGATTAAAAATTGATAAGCATGATAATCAAAGTATTGATGTCACCAAGTGGCTGGCTGGGTTGGTGGGATGTCCCAGAAAAACACATTGAGCTGGGAACTTGCTCTGAAGCCAAGTGGATCAAGAAGAAGCCTGGGTTGGGGGGCACTGTGATAGTTTGTGTCTGACTCTGGTCACATCATGGAAGGGGGCAAGAGCTACATGCCACAGGAGCTGGTGCCTTGTGGCAGATGGACAGACTCTTCCTTCAGTAAAGGTTGGTGGGAGGAAGCAGAAAGTCCTGGTGACACACTAGAGACAGGTAGGAGATTTGGAGACATCAAGGATGCTGTCTAAGCATCTGGCTTGAGACACTGGGTGAGGGTAGTCCATTCAGTGATTTTAGAAGATAAGGGTGAGATAGAGCAAGGAAAGCTCTCCTCTGCTGTCTGTATCCATAGTACAGGGCAACATGAGGGTGGCACTGCCAAGTAGCTGGAGTGTGGGAGAACAGAGCACAGAGAGGGGTGATGGTCACAACTCATGGATCTCAAGCTCACGTCTTCACTATGGCTTGTAGTCGCCAAGTCATTAGGGGGCCCATGACCAGGAGAGGGTCTTCACACAGTACCTGTTGTTGCAAGCCCCTGTGATGGGCCGGTACTTATTTGCCAGGCAGGTATCAGGACATCTAGGTGGCAGCATGAAAGGCAAGCATCCTGACAGGTTGGCAATTGTGCCCAGAAGGTCTGCTGATAGGGTATCTGCATAACAAGACAGACCAGACTGTGTGTGACATCAGCCCCAGCAAAAGTACCTTTCCAATGGCGTATCGGCCACAGCCTCAACATCTGCATCAAGGCTTCCTATGTAGCTTCAGTCACTGTGCTGGGAAAACCTGCCATCTCCTTCTCTGTCATATACACCTCCATTCAACCCCCCTCGAGCATCTCCATTGGTAGGAGGGTGGGGGCTATGCCTACTTTTGTGCTTTGTGAACATTCAGGAAAACAACCTAAGAGTCATGAGGTTCCAGGAAGACAAGACGGTGGGCTACTTCTTAGAGTTGTCTCCCATCTCCCAGGACACATCACTGGGGCCAACTCATTATATCTGTATAACGAAACATCCCCACCTCACAATTATCCTATGCTTCAGGAGAGCACTAAGACAGGATGTGTATCCTCCCATGGAAACCTACCCTGATTTAGCTTGCTAAGAGTGTTCATTCTTTCCTCTATAAAAACCTTTACTTTTTTTCCCTATTGATTCTTTTCTCTTATAAACTTCTCTAATTAGAGCCTTTGAATGCAGTCTTTTTTGTTTATGTTTACTGTTTTTCTTGCCAGTTCTGTCACTGTTTATGTTATTCAACAAATCAAGGCTTGGAGGCTTGAAAACAACCCTACAAAACTTTGATGGACTATATATTAATGAAATTGGACAGTGGTTCTCAACCTGTGGGCCATAATCAGATATTTTGCACATCACATATTTACATTACAATTCATAGAAGCAGCAAAATTACAGTTATGAAGTGGCAATGGAAATAATTTTGTGGTTGGGGGTCAGCACAACATGAAGAACTATATTAAAGGGTTATAGTTACATCAGGAAGGCTGAGAACCACTGCACTAGAAAAAAAAACCAACAGGAACATGCCCTATTTTCAAATAGAAGAGAAACAGAGCAGGCATCTCGACAGTGAGTATTCCATACCTAGCCTCGGGGAACAGCAGCAAACTGAACAGGGACAGAGTTTGCTTTCAGCTGCCTGAGGACCATGTATTCCCTATTTAACAGAGAGCAGCAAATGCAGTCTTGTTACAAGACTCACTTGGCGGAACTTTTGTTGGTCAACAATCCTGTGTTCAGAAACAACCTGGTCCCTCTACCCAGTTTGTTTTTGCACCTGTGGCAAGAAGTCTATTTGGAGTGGTTCACCTTCCTTATTATATCTTAAATGTTCTGGAGTGGCTGAGTCTATAGCCTAAATAACTTCAAAATGTCCTTTAGGGTAGAACTCTTCAATTTCACATTATGGCCTGTCTTCCCAACATGCTCTCACTCTGGCCTGGCCTGAGAGCCTTGCAAAATGGAAGCAGGAGCCAGTAGGCTCTTATCCTCGAGGGACAGGTCACCCCATATCACTTTTACCACTGTCTGAGCTGATGTCACTACTGGATAGGGACCAATGTCCTTAAAAAGGTCTTTCAACTATGTGATCTGAAACAAAACCCTTTTAGGAATGACTTTTTGGTTGTTATAAAAAAAACCAATTAAACTTAACTATTCAGTGTAGGATCTGAGAATTGTGGTTAATCCTGGTTTAACATGAGTTCATCTCATCAGGCAAAGCAGCCCTAGATTAACATATACCAGAGATCAAGTAGCCCACAACACTGCATTGGAAGGACATCTCACTGAGTTTGTTAAAAGAAAGCCTATTTTCACGTGTGGCACCATCAAAATTGTGATGCAAGTCTGGTCCATGCCCTGCTTGCTTCAGCATCTCAGGTCTGTGAGGTTTTGATCTGAGGTGGTCCATGCTTTCTTCCAGTGTGTGCTACTGCAGCCACCCTGTGAGCATCCAGAGACAGCAGACTCACCTCAACTTTGGAATGCCCATGCAGCCGTCACATTCCTTGAGTGACTGAGTCAGAAGGCCCTGGCTACCAACTGGGAAGCTGATGCTCCTGTCCAGCCCTCTGCTTGCTGTGACAAGACACAACCTGACTGAATGCCTTCTCAGAAAGCTCCTAGGAGTGAATGTCTTCCCTGGGTTTCACTAGGTAGGAAGGCGACAGGAAAATTCCCAGTTTACTTTAGACCACAGAAGGCATGTTTCTCTAAATAGGATTCGAATACCAGAGAAACAATATTTCCCAGAATAATAAAAATATGAAAGTGTGCATGGGTTTAAGCAGAGGAAGAGGCATGTGGCCACTTGCCTGTGAAGAACTGTGATTGTTTACGTTTCAAGGCCTGTATTGATGTTTCCATGATCTCTGCTGCTCGGGAAATAGCCCCACTGGTGGACTCTGGCAGCTTGGAGAAAGAAAGGAGCTGGGCTGGGGAAAGGGCTTCCCTTTTCTTGAGGTTTCTAGAGCATAAAGAGACGTAAGTTAGTTGGGGCTGGAGAGGCAGCTCAGCTGGCAAGAGCACGTGATGAATGAACTTATGAGTACTCACATTTAATCTCCATATCCCATGGAAAAATCGGGGCATAGTAATGTATGCCTGTAACCCCAGTGCTGGGGAGGGGGAGGATAGCCCCATATTCCAATGAGAGGCCAGATCTCAAAATATGATGTGTAAGCCTCCCAAGGCTGGCTTCTGGCCTCCTCACACACATGCATGCATGTGAACCTACACACACAGACACCACCCCCTTCATCATTCCCCTATCACTAACACATGTACATATACACCCAGTACACAGGATGTTCATTGAGTGACTGCACATACCAGACAATGCACTCTGGGGTACACAAAGAAAAAGCCTAGACAGCTCTGAACCACAGGATAGCTGGGGATCATTAAAAGGGATAGAACGTAAACACAGAGTGCCAATATTGGGTGCTGAAGAAAATGGTCAATATTTTCTCTTTAACAAAATTCATATCTAAATGATCTTGGTTCTCTCCAACAGGCCTGGTAGGTACTGTTACACTTGTAAGACTAAGGCCCTTATACCTGAGACTCACGGGGCCCATGACACTGGAGGGGGCCACTTGCTAATGCTTCTACATGCCTACTGCTGTTGCTCACTGCTGCCAAGCAGGGGAATGAAAGCTTCCAGAGATCAGCACTTGAAGTGCTTGCCCTTGCCTGTCTAGGATGCCTATCTAGACACAGCAAAAGAACCCTTGACTGACTGATTGGTGATGCCAGTACCCTGCCCTGTTCTGGGGTGGACAGCCACTGAGACAGTCTTTCCCGGTACCCTGACTCCTTGGCTTGACATTCTAGTCCTCACAGCTTCCTGATGATTACCATGGATCAGTGCCTATATATTCCTCTGACTGGTCCTCTTAGCTATCTTATAGCCCTTCACGAGGATTGGTCCTCCCTGGTGGATTACCTCCCTTCCATACCCAGCCTGCTCTGCGCTCTTATCTTGGGGGCTTGATGAAGTGCTTGTATCAATTGCCCAGGCAGCTGTCCATCTGCTGCTTCCCCTGGGCAGCAAATAGGCAGCTCCATGTGTTAATCAGAGTGCAGGTCTCCAGCCATTGTGCAGGGCTCATTACCACTCCAGCTGCAGAGACTGGGAGGATGTTAAATGATGGCTGTGTGTCCTTATATTTGCAGAAGGATATTGATTTTACACTCCCACTTTTGGGAACTCGGTGTTTAGCTGGCTCAGCACTCCTCGTGTGAAAAGCTGAAGACAGCCGTGTGCTAGATTTATGTTTTCTTTAGTCCCCTGGGTGTTTGGGGAGTGGAGAATGCTGCCCAGCAGTGTCGTTCTCATTAAAGCCACCCTGTGCACTCTGCTTCTCAATCTGCTGCCAGACAGAACCTGGAGTATTTCTGCTTCAGTAGACTAAGATGATGTCACTGACCTGTGTCCTGATAATTCAGCTGAGCACATCCTGGAGCCCATGGGCAACTGTGAACCAGGAGTTCACTCTGAACGCTGAAAGGGGGCACGTTTATTGCTCTGGGAGTGGACCTTTGTGGGGAAGGATGTGATTCTGGCACTTTTCCGGTTTCCCCAGACCCACTGCCTCTCAGCAGAGAAAGAAAAAGAGGGAAAGTAATCTCATCCACCTTCTGGGAGGAGGGGAGCGAGAGGGGGGAGGGGGAGAAAAGAGGAGGGGGGGAGGAAGAGATAGAGGGAGGGGGACCACCTGGTGAATATATGGATATAGATTTTGTTCTGCAGATGCACAAGAGCAAGTTTGAGCCAGGACTGCTCATCTGGTTGATCTGATGATGACTCTTGGTCCAAGAGAGTGGAGGGGTTGGTGGCTTTACTCCAGAAAGGGTTGGTGAGCATAACTGGCCCCCCATTCAGGGGTCTTTGGAGCTGCTTCCTATAGTATATCAGCCTAGGTGGCCCAGCCATGACTGGCAGCAGGCCCTATCCACCCTTGCTGGCTTGTAGACCTGGCTGTACTTCCCACTGCAGAAGCACAGGCTGCCAATCAGAGCTGGAGCTGCCACACTGCCAGTACAATCTCACGCTCCTTCCTTCCCAAATGGTGACGTCACGGGGTCCTATCTCATCAGCTGCAGTTCCTGCACTGGGATCGACACCATGAAACTCTTTTAGATTTATGAATTCTCTGCCACCTTGCCCACCTCTAGTGGGTAACTCCTCTGGCCCTAAGATTCCCAGAAGCATCCCACACTACAAAAAACCCCTGTTTTCCCTGATGATTCCCATCAGTTCACCTGCTAGGGAATATCGTTTCCTCTTTATTCACCATCATTTTTTTTCAATAGCCAAGCAACAATTTGTCTGTACCCAATGTTAAATAGTTAAAGCATTTCCTACCTTGAATAATAGAAATTTAAAGTCAATCAGAAGATGTCAGTTAATAATTTGTTCCTTGAGAGATGTTGTAACTTCCAACAAAATGATAAGTTTGTAAATATAAGAACCTAACATGTCTTTTTGATGTTATGTGAACATCTAACGAGACATCATAATACCATTAGCACTAGTGTCTGTCACATTTTTAAAAGCGTGATGTCAGGGGCTGGAAAAATGACTGGGTTAAGGGCACAGACTTCTCTAGAGGACCCGGAGTAGATTCCCAGCATGCATACTATGGTTTATAACTGTCTGTAAACCCTGTTCCAGTAGATCGAATGCCCTCACCTGGCCACTGCAGGGACAAGGCATGGACCTGGTACTTAGATATGCAAGTGAACAAGACATCTACATACACACAACAAGATTATAAGAAAATTTTTAAAAAAATTTAAAAAGTGTATGATGTCATCTGTTTCAGGAAAAAAAGTGATGGGCAGCTTTGATTTGAGGTAATGTTATGGTGACATTACAGAGCACCCTTTCCTCCTTCATGTGTCCTAATGCTATTCCTGACCAGGCTTCAGACTGTATCATCATGGCATCTTGAACCATGATTAGACCCTGGGCTCTTGATCTGTGTTTCTCTGACCAAAGCGTCTGAGACGGAGCATTTTTTTTTTTTTTACTGCCAACAACATTGGAACCACGAATCATTTCGTATGACTTCAGTGCCTCATTTGCAAGAGGGGGTGAAGGAGAACACTGTCCTTTACCTTTTCATGGTGCTGTAGACTGCGTTGTCCACCATGAGCTGACTTGCTTCCACGACACTGATAATACGGGACTTCATGGTCTTCCCTAGGATATAAAACGTGACACGGCTGAAACAGACCCACGGTGCAGCAACTCTGCCAGCTTTAGCTTTTCTTTCCCAAGCGCAGAGGGACACAGTGACAGTCACACGGTCTCTGGAAACGAGTGGCTTTTTGAACTGTTCCTGAGCATTAGTGTGTATATAAAAAAGGAACAAACCCTGAAAAGGAAAACTAAGTAACTGTATTTTGGACACTGCGCGAATGAGGGAGCCTTGTGGCATTCAGGTCCTGACAGCACCTGCCTTCCATGTTTGACATGAGAAGAAGCAATATGATAGGAAACAGTTGGAGAGTCTCAGACGCTTGTGATCACAAGTCCCCAAGATCATACCAGTCCTCAGCGTGGGGGGTGGGGCACAGTGTCTACTCATTGTTTCCTTCTAAATCTACCTTGCCACACCCAGTTTTCATCTCCATTCCTTAAGTCAGCTATGGTCCTGATTTTACTAGCTGGGAAAAGAAACTCTCTTCCTCTAGATAGTGCCATGTCTGTCTGCTTCCAAACAAGATGATGCTGGACTAACCCTCTAAAATCTGTAAGAAAGCCCCCAGCTTCACACTGTCACTTTATAAGCATTGCCTTGGTCACAGCATTAGAACACGGGCTAAGACAGCATCTGATAGTTGGCCTGGGGTCAGGTGCAGTTGGAGACTTGGAAACTTGTCTCTTCTCCTTTCACTTCAGTAACGCCTTGTGGGAAGTTCTGTACCCCACAACTGTCATCCCCCCCGACTCCCATCACTCAATGGGAAGGTTATGGCTAAGACATCTCACCATTCTTTGGCTCCTGCTGTCAGTTGGTTGCTTTTTAAATGCTGACCTGCTAGACTGTGTCTCCCCTTACAACACAAAAGACCCATCTGCCCACGGAGTAACATCCAGACCCTCACAATCTCCAAGGACAAAGTTTACTATTTCAAAGCTCTGCATGTGATAGCTTGATTTCTCCCTCACTTTAAAAAGTGTCAAAGTCCTCTGGCACTAGAGAAATGACTTAGTGAGTAACATTTGCTACACAGCATTAGGACCTCGGTTCCGATCTCCATAGTCATGAAAAGTTTGGCATGACTTTGTGAACCTTTTACTGGAACGCTACACAGAGCAGGGACGGGGGATCGCCAAGGCTTGCTGGCTGCCAGTCTAGTTCAGTGAGAGAACCTGTCTTAGAGTAATAACATGGAGAGTGATAGAGCTCCTGACACCCTCTTCTGACCTCCGAATACATACACATGGGCATAAACACCCTTACATACCTGTGTACATACCTACACCCCAGTATTTATTTAAAATATCCAACTTATTTTCTCTTCCTTTACAATATAATGACCCTCTGAGTGGATGAAGCAGAAGAAAATGACCAATTCGTCACTGTGTATCCTATGTGCTGTGACCCAAAGAGGGCTGGGTTACATGGCCTCTGCCCAGGTGGAGGCTGTATTTAATAGACACTTTTCATGTGTGAGACCTAAATGATTGAATAGAAGAATTAACTGTGAAGAAAAAAATGTTTTGGTGTGTGTGTGTGTGCGTGTGTGTGCGTGTGTGTGTGTGCGTGCGTGCGTGCGTGCGTGTGTGTGTGTGTGTGTGTGTGTGTGTGTGTGTGTGTGTGTGTGTGTGTGTTTACTATTCTGGGGAATAGTAGCTGCCAGTGAGAGAATTTCCTGTTATTTACGCCTATTAGAATGATATTTAAATCAAACTGATTTTGCATTGCTTATACTTACTTTGCTATATTGCAAAGAAATATTCCACCAGATTTTAAAGAAAGCTTTGTTATTTCAAATTTTGTCTTTAAACCAAAGATTTTTTTTGTATTGAAAATTTTCCTGCAGAAATACTTCTCATCTGTGGTCTTCTAAAATCCCAGTGGAACTGGATGGATTTTAAGTTAATCATGTTTTGGGTGAACAGAGATGTCTCATTTGTCTACAACAGAGGAGAGAATCTTCCCCTCTGCCCATCTTAGGTTATCACGTTCCGGGGCCCGCATAAATTAGACAGATGAAGGATAAACAAGAGAAAAACCTGGCAGCCAGCAAGCCTTGGTCTGTGTGCTCACATCCCATGAGAGCTGCCAGAGCTAACTGACAGAGCCAAGCTGGGAAGTTGTCTAGATGGTATTCTTAGGGAGAAGAAGAAAAGGAAGGAGGGAGGGAGAAATGGAGGGAGGGAAGAGGGAACAGGTGGTTAGGGAATAGGCAGTCAGGAGGCAGATAAATGAGGAATGCTGGCAGCTGAGTTTGTGAGGTGGGTTCCTGGATGTCTGTGCCTGACCTGGAACCTTCCTTTCTTCCCCGCAGGAAGGGGTGAGACCCTTTGCACATGGATTTCCTGGCCAGCAGGGGGAGATAGAGTGCTTCTCTACGACCTGTGGCCTTCTCAGTACCTCAAGATCCACCCAGCAGGTACACAGGGTTACCTCTGCCTTGTGGTTGAGGCCGGGTCAATGACCCTGAGAATTTCAACTCGGCCTCTTCTGTTATTCTAGAAGAGAAATCCAAATTTTGGAGAATATCTTGACTCATCCCCTGTCGGGGAGATATCATGTGTCATCTGGATTTCCACGTGTACACCCTGAAAGTGTTGTCTGCTCTGGGAGGCACGCTGGCTTGCAGAATCCCACGCTCTTGCATAGTCATAACGGGGATGCAAGGAGCCAATTAGACAAGAAGATACTGTGTGTCAGGACAAAGAAACAGGCTACGCAGTTCCAAACATGTTCACTAATACGAAGCAAAACGAAGCGAAACAAAACAGCTAAGAAAGCCCATGTCTTCTTCTGGAGAGCCACAGAGGCGGCTCAGATCCCGTTTTGACCATCTCTCCAGAAATCTGGTGAACTGGAACAGAGCTCACCAGGGTGCCTTTTTAACAAACTCCCCCACTAGGCTGGCTTCCCAGTCTCGGGATTTGCAGGCAGCTTTCCTGCCCACGCTGTTCACTTGTATCTTATTTTCTCTTCACAGCCACAACTAGCGCTGAGTTCACCATAAAGACAATTTCGCATGGATCTTAATTTCACACCAACACTGGAAGCCAGTTTCAGTCTGTAGAGAGGAATACCCAGGTCTCTGTGAAGCATGTGCTACCAAGGGCTGTCAAGAGATGCTCCAAGCAGTTTTCTTAGATTTATAATGGTCGTGGGTATACTTTAAGAGAAAATGAAACCTTTTTCCATTTTCAGTACTTTATTACTGAATTTCCAGGTGTGGAGGTTTCTTTTCCTCTGTGCTTTGAGCCATCTGGCTCTGGCTCTGGCTCTGCACAGTGATGTGTGTTTGCATGTGCTCTATAACTTTGCTTCCCAAAGTGTCATTGACGTCGTCCAAATGCACAAAGTCATCTCTGCATTGTCATCTTCCAAACACATTTAATTTGAGCTGCGGTGAATATTTATTGTTTTAAAGGGACTGTTTTTTTAACCAGCTGACTAAATCATGTCCATACATTAAAGAATGTAAAATTGAACCAGTGTGAAGCAAATACTTCTTTCTTGCTTTTTTGTTTGTCTATGACAGGGTCTTATGAAATCCAGGTCGGGTTTACTTAAACATGCTGTATAACCGATGCTAGCCTTGAATTCTTGATCCATCTGTCTCAGATGGAATTGCAGGTGTGCTACCACACCAAGAAGAACTTAAAAGAGCACTACTGGTGATTTTAATGATTTTTTTTAAAGTTTAGTATTAAACCCAGGGCCTCATAAACACCAAGACAAGTGCTCCTCTGCTGACCTATACCAGACCAAAGGCAGAGCCAAAGCTGGCCTGTAAAAGGGAGTTCTTAATTGGTCTAAGTAATAAAAACTCGGACTCAGATATAGGGGAAAATGCTGAGAGATCACAGAGAAGGAGCAAACCACTGCCACTCCTTGCCTCCTTAGTGTCTCAGAAGATGTCGTTTTGTATGTTATTAAAAGCATAAGCAAAAGGGTGGACTAGAGTGCAGGTTTGCAAATGACGCCTTTCATCCCAGCATTCTGGATGCAGAGGCAGAGACAGGCAGATCTCTGTGTGTGTGTTCACAGTGAGTTCCAGGCTGATGGGAGCTACATACTGAAACCCTGTCTCAAGAAACAAAGAAATCTGTGTGTGGAATTATAGTTACCTCATGCCCTGATTTTTAAAAAAATAATGCAATTTCCCAAATTTGAAGCCATGGTGTGCAGATGATTTTATGAACAGCTTCGAGGGTGCAACAGCTTGCTATTAACTAGCCTCTTGACCTCTACCTTTTCAGTCTTGTTTTATCCCTCTGGGGCCTTGATAACTACTAAACAAAAGAATAAAGTGGTTTACTCCCTGTCTGTGTGCTGAACACCTGTTATGTTCCAGGTGTTAGAAGGGCTGGTGTGGAGGAGTAAGATTTAAAATCAGTAACCCCTCTTTCGTTTTCCCTAGCTGTCAATGGGAACACACACTTCCTAAGTTACAGCTGACCAGGGATGCCTGTGGTGTTCAGTTGAAGACCCAGACTTGGAAGGGGAACGGTGTGCCCATCAGAAGGAGTGCTTTGCAGATCCCTGTGTAACCAGTGTGGAAGCCCAGAAGGAAGGGGGAAGAGGAGGGATTTCTGCAGGAGCTCCCGAGCCTGGGGAGATAGCAGGGTGACTTCAGCACAGTCACAATGTCCAGACATTCAGAAAAAACAGGCAGAACGTAGCTCCTAGCAGGAAGCTGGGTGTAGATGAAGGCCCAAGGGCTGGGCTGTGTCTGAGACACAGGGGTGGGGGGAGGGCAGCAAGTGCCCCTCCAGCATTCTGCCGCCAGGAAGCTCGGTCCAGGGTGACTGCTTATCCTCCACCACCACCAACCCCCTCTGCCCGTCCCTTTTTCTTTCCTTTCTTCCTCTCTCCTACCCCTCCCATCCCCTCCCTCTTTCCTTGCTTTTTCTTCTCTACAGCAAAGAGCGATTATGCTAACCATGACATCACAGTAGCTTTCTTACCATAATTTCCCATAAAACTGACTAATTCCAGAAACTTTACCAGAGACATTTAATGAAAGATGATTTTATAACAAAGGAACAAAAATACTCAGAAGTTTTCTTTCAGATATATGTATGGGTAAAAATGGAAATGATTTATTCTGCAATCATGAAAAAAAATCAGTTCTTTTAAAGGATGAATTACATTTTCATCCTTCTAAACTGAAGAATTACATTATTCTCTTTGAAAAGCACAAAAGGGTCCTAACCAGTTCTCAGCAACTGCCATAACATGTTCAGTTTACCGAGTGTGAAAAACAACTTTACAAGACTAAAAGATCACGTGTTGTTTGTTACTTACCCCACAAGGCTTCTCTGCTTCTCAAGATGAAAGGGAAGAAAATGCCAGTTCCCATCACTGCCAGTGTGACCGCCATAGCTCTAAGTGCTCTCATTCTGGAACTGAAGTGGCAAAGAGATAATCAGGTATTCAGCAGCATGCTGTGGGATTTATCATAAATACCCTGGCCTCTCCTCAGGTGGGCCTTCCCGAGTCCAAGGCTGCAACTCCTAAGGACGCTGAACCATCTTCAGAACCAGAAGATGCAGACACAGCCTGGAGTGCTTGTCAGAGCTAGTCCTCTGTGCATCAGAAATGTGGGGCTAGAGAACAGGAAATTTCTCTCTTCCAACACTCCTATGCAAAGCAGACAGCTAACATTAAGAATTTAGCATTTATAAATATAACTAAATCCCTGCACCTGCTGCATTTCTATGGAATGAGGACTACATAAAGTAATTTCAGATGAAACAAAATCCAAAATTGGTCACGTCCACTTTCTACGTCTTTGTTTTCCTAGCCTTAGATGCAACTGATTTGAGCCCCTAACTTTCTTAAGCAGACATCCCAGGGGGAATACATCGTAGTGCATGAGGGTCTATAAGTGACCCAGCACTTCCTAGCTGAAGTCATAGGAACAAGGCATGCCAGTCTTTGCTAGGAAAAGCCCAATAATGGCCTCTCATAGACAACTTTTCGCCTTTCATGAGAGATTTCTCTTAGGAAAGTGGAAAATAAAAAGTTTTACAACCTGACCATTGTCCTTTTCTCAGCAGAGGAAGCAGGTGTGCGCAGTTGGGTGCTTTCTTAGTGGTCTTCTGAAATGTGAATCGCGATTAGTTTTCTGAACCATATAAAATGGACTCTGTGCTCTGATGCCCACTCAAGCTCCTAATGGGAGTGGCTCCATTCTACGTTTGCTTAGCATTGTGTTTCTGCCAAGTTCCCTCTTGTGTGTCCTGGCTGGTCAGAAAGAAGTTGCCACATCATGAAGGACACTCTGTACCTGACCTAGAAAGAAGTGTGACATTCAGAGAAAGGAGAAACTTAATAAAACCCAATCCCGTTAACATTGGACCTTTTCTGAGCTGATGCAACTGGATATGCACACTATTAAAGTAGGAGGCAGGCTTTGGAAGGGGAGATTTAGTAGGGGTGGCCAGGGGGTGAGAGGATAATGGGGTACTTTGATAGAAACATATGTATGCATATGAGAAACTGTAAAACAATAAATAGAATTAATAGAAGCACCACATGGAAGAGAAGATATGAGTCACACAGCATCAGCAGGATTGCGTTTTCTGCTAGTCCCCAGTGGCGATGACAACCTGGAACCTTACTGCTTATCCCTGAGGCACCAGAGTCCTTCTCCCTGAAAAGTGGATAAACTACATCCCTGTAAGGGTGACCAACAGGGTGCATTTGAAGCTCACCAGCAACGTCCCCAAACGCACTATCTCTGAAATGGAAAGATTCATTAGGTTCCTCCCTGCCAGTGTAGAGGATAAAAACTGAGTCACGTTCAGAGAAGCCAAGACACAAAGAAGGTTCTGAGAGCAGCCCAGCTGTCCGGAAGAGGTCCAGATCAACTGAGGAACCTGGAAATGACATCCACATTTGAGGTGCCTGTAGGCTGTGCAGTGCACTCCAGGTCCCAGTTTTTATGAACTGCCATCGATGCTGGGGTGAGCTTTGGTGACACAGCTGTCTTAGAGTCATTTCTGTTCCTCTAAGTGACCACTCACCCATATTTTGTAAGTAGCCCCAATAAAAGTATTGGTTTATCAAGTTGAGCTTTGGTCTGTCACCAGTTCCCTGTCTGGGATGAGGAGAGATGTGTTGTGTCTCCCCGGGAGAAGTCTTGTCACACACATGGGTATACATTTCAGTGTTACCCGGAGGCCAACAGAGAGTGCCTAAGAACGTGATAATTCACCTTAGAGAGGCCCCTATGAGGGCAGCAGAGTGAATGTTAGAAAATGGTACCTTTTCCTCTGAACTATAGGCTGCAGTTTTTTTCCCCTCTCATCTCTATTAAGATATAGTGATGAGTAAAAATTACGTCCATATGTGGCCACCAGTTAGCGCTTCAGTGTACAACAGCAAGGAATGATGGAATGACTGGGACTACTCAAAACAGCCATCACCTCATGTATCCCCTTAGGGCCTCTCCTCATATCCCATTTATATCTCCCCACGCCCCCTCTCTCATCCCCTCCTTGTATCTTTTCTTTTTTTTTTGGATTTTTTTAATTAAAATTTTTATTTTTAAATTTAAATTCAAATTAGAAACAAGGTTTCTTCACATGTCCATCTCACGTCCCTCTCCCTTTCCCTCCCCTCCGCCCACCCCCCTCCCACCACCCGCCCAATACCCCCTCCTTTCCCCAGGGAGGGTGAGTTCTTTCATGGGGGTGTCCATAGTCTGTCATTTCATCCAGGACAGGGCCTAGAACCTCCCTGAAGAGTTCAGGGTGAAAGTGCATCTCTCATTGTGGGATGGGCACCCAATGTCCATTTGTATCCCAGGAATAAGTACTGGTCAACTACCAAAGGCCCCATAGATTGTCTAGGCCTCCTCACTGACACCCCCATTTAGGGGGGTCTTGATCAGCCCCATGCTGGATTCCCAGGCATCATCCTGGGATTCAAGAGTTAACCCTTGTCAGGTCAGCTGTTTCTGGGGGTTAAACCAGCCCAGTCTTAATCTCTTTTGTCATTAGTCCTCCCTCTCTGTTACTGGCTTTCTTGAGTTCAGCTCAGTGCTTAGCCGTGGGAATCTGCCTCTGCTTCTAACAGTCATTGAATGAAGGTTCTGTTTCCCAGACTCTCCGGCCAAGGGATTATAGGCTGGCACTCCCCAGATCTATGTCTAATATCCATATATGAGAGAGCACATGCCATGTTTCTCTTTTTGTGCCTGGGTTACCTCCCTCAGGATGGTTTCTTCTAGTGTCATCCATTTGCCTGCAAATCTCAGGATTCCATTGTTTTTTTCCGCTGAATAGTACTCCATTGTGTAGATGTACCACATTTTCTCTATCCACTCTTCAGTTGAGGGGCATCTAGGTTGCTTCCAAGTTCTGGCTATTACAAATAATGCTGCTATGAACATAGTGGAACAGACATCCTTGTTGTATGAATGGGCATCTTTGGATATATGCCTAAGAGTGGAGTTGCTGGGTCTTGTGGTAGGTTTATTCCCATTTTTCTGAGGAATCTCCACACTGATTTCCAAAGTGGCTGAACAAGTTGGCACTCCCACCAGCAATGGAGAGTGTTCCCCTTTTACTACATCCTCTCCAGCATAAATTGTTGTTGGTGTTTTTTATTTTAGCCATTCTGACAGGAGTGAGATGGTATCTAAGAGTTGTTTTGATTTGCCTTTCCCAGATGGCTAAGGATGTTGAGCACTTTCTCAAGTGCCTCTCAGCCATTTTAGACTCCTCTATTGAAAATTCTTTATTTAGTTCTGCAGCCCACTTTTTAATTGGATCCTTTGGTGATTTGGAGACTTGCTTCTTGAGTTCTTTGTAAATTTTGGAGATCAGCCCTCTGTCAGATGTGGAGTTAGTGAATATTTTTTCCCATTCTGTGGGTTGTCACTTTGTCTTGCTGACTGTGTCCTTTGCCTTACAGAAGCTTCTCAGTTTCAGGAGGTCCCATCTATTAATTGTGGATCTCACTGTCTGTGCTACTGGTGTTATGTTCAGGAAGCTGTACCAATTCGTTCAAGGGTACCACCCATTTTCTCTTCTAAGAGGTTCAGTGTGGCTGGATTTATGTTGAGGTCTTTGATCCATTTGAACTTAAGTTTTGTGCATGGCGATAGACATGGATCGATCCGCAGTCTTCTACATGCCAGACTCCAGTTATGCCAGCACCATTTGTTGAAGATGCTTTCTTTTTCCCATTTTATATTTTTAGCTTTTTTGTCAAAGATCAAATGTTCATATGTGTGTGGGTTAATATCAGGGTTTTCAATTCGATTCCAATGGTCTACCTGTCTATTTTTGTGCCAATACCAAGTTGTTTTCAGGACTATAGCTCTATAATAGAGCTTGAAGTCAGGGATGGTGATGCCTCCGGATGTTGCCTTGTTGAACAGGGTTGTTTTGGATATCCTGGGTCTTTTGTTTTTCCATACAAAATTGATTATTGTTCTTTCAAGGTCTGTGAAGAATTGTGCTAGGATTTTAATGGGGATTGCATTGAATCTGTAGATTGCTTTTGGCAGGATTGCCATTTTTACTACATTGATCCTACCTATCCAAGAGCATGGGAGATCTTTCCATTTTCTGAGGGCTTCTTTAATTTCTTTAAAGATTTAAAATTCTTGAGATACAGGTCTTTCACTTGTTTGGTTAGCGTTACCCCAAGGTATTTTATGTTGTTTGTGGCAATTGTAAAGGGTGATGTTTCTCTGATTTCTTTCTCAGCCCTTTTATCATCTGTATATAGCAGGGCTACTGATTTTCTTGAGTTGATCTTGTAGCCTGCCACTTTGCTGAAGGTGTTAATCAGCTGTAAGAGTTCCCTGGTAGAGTTCTTTGGGTCATTTATGTAAACTATCATATCATCTGCAAATAGTGAAAGTTTAACCTCTTTCTTCACAATTTGTATCCCCTTGATCCCCTTTTGTTGTCATATGGCTCTGGCTAGAACTTCAAGTACAATGTTGAAAAGGTGTGGAGAGAGTGGACAGCCTTGTCTTGTTCCTGATTTTAGAGGAATTGCATTGAGTTTCTGTCCATTTAGTTTGATGTTGGCTGTTGGTTTACTGTATATAGCTTTTATTATGTTTAAGTATGTCCCTGTTATCCCAGATCTCTCCAAGACCTTTATCATGAAGGGGTATTGGATTTTGTCAAAGGGGTTTTCAGCATTTAGTGAGATGATCATGTGATTTTTGTTTCTCAGCTTGTTTATATGGTGGATTACATTGATGGATTTTCGTATGTTGAACCATCCCTGTATCCCTGGGATGAAACCTACTTGATCGTGGTGAATGATAGTTTTGATGTGTTCTTGGATCCAATTTGCCAGTATTTTATTGAGTATTTTTGCATCAATGTTCATGAGGGATATTGGTCTGAAGTTCTCTTTCTTAGTTGTGTCTTTGTGTGGCTTGGGGATCAAGCTTATTGAAACCTCGTAGAAAGAGTTTGGCAAAGACCCTTCTGCTTCTATTGTGTGGAATACTTTGAGAAGAATTGGTATAAGCTCTTCTTTGAATTTCTTGTAGAATTCTGCACTGAGGCCATCTGGACCTGGACTTTTTTTGGTTGGGAGACGTTTGATGACTGCTTCTATTTCAATAGGGGTTATAGGTCTATTTAAATTGCTTATCTGTTCTTGATTTAATTTTGGCAAGTGATAGCTATCCAGGAAGTCGTCCATTTCCTTTAAATTTTCGAATTTTGTGGAGTACAGGTTTTCAAAGTATGACCTGATGATTCTCTGAATTTCCTCAGAGTCCGTTGTTATGTCCCCCTTTTCATTTCTGATTTTGTTAATTTGCATGTTCACATTCTGCTGTTTGGTAAGTTTGGACAAAGGTTTGTCTATCTTGTTGATTTTCTCAAAGAACCAAGTCTTCGTTGCATTGATTCTTTGTATTGATTTCCTAGTTTCTACTTTATTGATTTCAGCTCTCAATTTGATTATTTCCTGGCGTCTACTCCTCCTGGGGGAGTTCGCTTCTTTCTGTTCTAGAGCTTTCAGCTGTGCTGTTAATTCTCTAGTGTAACTCTTCTCCAGTTTCTTCATGTGGGCACTTAGTGCTGTGAACTTCCCCCGTAGCACTGCTTTCAAAGTGTCCCATAGGTTTGGGTATGTTGTGTCTTCATTCTCATTGAATTCTAGGAAGTCTTTAATTTCTTTTTTTTAATTT